GGTGCCATATACATTTTGCAGCAGCCTTGTGCCAGAACTGGTCAGGTTCTAGATTTGTCTGGCATATTAGGAGAGAAGCTATGGACTGTCTGTTTTGGCAGTGCATTTTGGGGGCTTGAGTCCAAACATCAGCGGGATCAGATAGGTCTCAAGGATGGCATAGGGATGGATGCAAAGAGATCTGGAATGTATTGGTGCAGTCAGAGCAGCTGGATGTGTTCTCTGTGTAGATGATGGAATTTTGAGTCTTTTGTGCCAAAACGAGAAAGATCCAGCTTGGTCTATGTCAGGATTGTCACACAGAGGCAAAATAGAACCAGTAACAACTTCATTGGTAAAATAAAGAATAAATTAATTAGTTTAAAAAAGACTGGCTCCAACACTTAGTAAAGACATGCAGCTATTATCTTCACACAGTGCCACCTAGTGACTAAACATTGTAACACAGTTTAAACTTTCCATCGTCTCAAAAAAATAAATTAATTAATGGAGATATCCTATCTCCTAGAGCTAGAAGGGACTCTGAAAGGTCATTGAGTCCAACCCCCTGCCTTCACTAGCAGGACTAAGTACTGATTTTACCCCAGATCCCTAAGTGGCTCCCTCAAGATTGAGCTCACAACCCTGGGTTTAGCAGGCTAATGCTCAAACCACTGAGCTATCCCTCCCCCCAAATATTTTTATTTATTTTATTTAGGCTGACTTGTATTTGTAAGGGCTGTCTCTGGCAGGTTTGGAATAGGTGAATCTTTTTCTTCTAGTTCTGCACCTGCACTTTGTAGAATTTGCTCAGTGGATTGTTCGGTCTCTGGAACAAACTGAAGATGTTGACGATTTCTGTTGAACGCTCCATGGTCTGTCTCAATAGTGTATAATCAGGGTGAGGTATTTGTTTCCTTTACAACAGCTGGAGTTCTCCATCCTTCTCCTCTATCCAAGGAGACACAAACAGGCAATTTTCTGAGTGACATCAGTTATAAAAGTGTTCATATGCTCTTTTTGCTTGTTGATCTGACTTGGCTACTTTTTTTCAGGTCTGGCCATGCTGGGGCTAAATTTTTTCCAGGATTGGAACAATCCTGAGTTGCCTTCCCATCAGGAGCTGGGTAGGGCTGTAGTCAGTAGCTACTAACAGTAGTGACTTGTTGCTCAGTAGAGCAAGGAATGGATCTTCCTGCTTCAATATTTTCTTGGATGACTGTATAGCCCTCTCAGACTCTCCATTTGCTTGTGGGTAATGTGGGCTGCTAGCGATCTGTTCAAAACCACATTTGGTTTAGAATGACTGAAGTTCAGTTGTGGTGAATTGTGGTGTGTTGTCTGTCACTAGTTGTTGTGGAATATCAAAACTGGTGAATGTGCTTTTTAATTTCTCAATAACACTACAACTTGTTGTATCTTTCAAATATATTATTTCAATATATCTAGAAAAATAATCCACTACAACTAGGTAATGATGTCCTCTAAATTCGCACAAATCTGGTGTTAGCCTTTTCCAGGGTCTGTCTGGTATAGGTGTTGTTATTTAAGTCTCTTCGCACACATGTATCTGTAAAAGTTCTCACATGCACATTCACTTGCAGGAACCCCCTTTCAATCTATGCATATCATTTTTCTTCTTCTGTAAGTGTATGAGGGCAGAATGCAAATGGTTTCCATTCAGATCCATGTAGATGCAATAACGCGCCACCCAGGCCAGAGTTACTGATATCTGCACTGACCATGGTAGAATTTAACTACCCCAGTTCTAAAGATAATTTCTTTGCCCTTTTGAAGGCAGTCTCCTGATTTGGGCCCCATAGTCAGGAAGTATTGGACCTTAGTTGTTCATTCAGTGGTTTTGTCACTGTAGAAAAGTCTTGCAGCTATCAACCATGATAGTTTATCATCTCCAGTATGTGTCTCAGTTCTGGTACATTTGTTGGTGCATTCAGTTCTCTAATTATTTTTACTTTCTTGGGGATAGGACTAATTCCAGCTGTTCCAAAAATTCACATTGGAAAACACACTTTTCTTTATTTAGATTGAATCAGTACTCACTGGTTTAGGTCAGGACTTCACTGAAGATTTTGTTATGTTCTTCCACTGATGTGTTGTCCCTAAGAAGGACTACCCCATTTATGTTCTGTAAGAGGTCTGCCATCTTTCTTGGGAAATTTTCAGGAACATTGGTAATCCTGAAATGGAATCTTTGAAAGCAAAATATCCCAAATGGTGTAATGAATGGAGTCAGTTTAGCTCGCTCTCTCTGGCTAAATGAAATTGCCAATTTTTGTGCATTTACAGCATTTGTCTCCTTTATTTAAACATCAAAGGGGTAGCCATGTTAGTCTGAATCTGTAAAAAGCAACAGAGGGTCCTGTGGCACCTTAGAGACTAACAGAAGTATTGGGAGCATAAGCTTTCGTGGATAAAAACCTCACTTCTTCAGATGCAAGTAATTTTTTCCCAAGAACCTCCTATAACATTTCACGAAACCCAGTTTGGGAACCACTGTCTTTACTTGCATCTGAAGAAGTGAGGTTCTTATCCACGAAAGCTTATGCTCCCAATACTTCTGTTAGTCTCTAAGGTGCCACAGGACCCTCTGTTGCTTTTTATTTAAACAATCACCTCTTGTATTGTCATCTTTCCCACATTTTGAGCATCTAGTCTGAAAAGTGTTTATATTTTGCCTAGGGCTCACCCCACTTTGCCTTTGAGGATTGATTACAATTGCTTTTTGCAGCTCTGCTATATCTCCTATTGCAGTGGTTCCCAAACTTTAACAACCTGTGAACCCCTTTCACGAAAATGTCAAGTCTCGCGAACACCCTCCTAAAAATGAATATTTCCAGGGATTTTCCCCTTTACCTGAGTATAAATTATAAAAGCAATGATCTTGGAAATACACAATTTGTTTTTATGACATGCTTATTACATACTATTTATTATTAATTATTATCTATCATTACAGTATTTTTATTACATTATGAAAACTGCAACACTCCAAGATCTCACTTTCATAGCTTGTATCACTTTGAATAAGCCTGTTATAAGACAAGGCTCCTATGTTTCATCAAGGAGTATCAGATGTGAAACAGCAGGAAGGTATTTAAGAAGTCAACTCAAAGAGTTCCTCCTACACAAGCATTCAGGTCTTGAGCAGTCCAGGCAAACAACGCACGTTACAACAAAGCTTAAACTTGTTCTTCATAATAATTTTAAAAACAGTACTAGCTGCCTATTTCATTTTAAAAACAGCAAAAAATATCCACCTCCCCTTCCTTTTCTTATAAGGAGGCTTGAAGTTTAAATCTCCTCAGTGTGATAGATAGGCTTGCTTTGATCTGCTTAGCTCTTGGAAGTTCAGGGGCTCCGGGCTGCTGGCCCCGTGCTGCCTGAGGTCCCTAGGGACAGCTCTGTCCGCCATTAGGGAATTTTTTCCCGAGAACCCCCTATAACATTTCACGAACCCCAGTTTGGGAACCACTGTCCTATTGTGATTCACTTCCTCTAGGTTTCTTTCTGGTGGCCCTGGCCTCTGTTTGGATTTTTAATACTCTCCAATTGTCTTGCTATTTCTACTGCTGTGTGAAGGTTTAAATCTTCCCTCATTTGCAGTTTCTCTGTCAGTCCCTTGTCTAAAATGCCAATCAGGACTCTGTCTCTGATGTGCTCTTCCATTTTGTCTTCAATATCAGTTTTCTACCATGTCTTACAAGCCTCTTATAAATGATTCCACAGACTCCCCAGGTTTTTGGACATGCTGGTAGAAACGGGCTCACTCATCAGCCACATTACACAGAGGTGTAAACTGCTCATCAAACACAGCCAGCACCACAGCGTGGCTCTCCTCTCCAAAGGCAAAGGATTTAAAGATGGGTTCAGCTTCCCTGCCCATAGCATAGACTAAGGAACACAACTGGACCAGGCCCTTCTCCTCCTGGAGTTTAGTTGAAGTGCAAAACCCATAAATCGATCCTTCCAGTCAGTCCAGTCTGCTCCATCAAAGCTGAAGCTCTGTGGAGCATGAATTTTACACACTTTGACAAAATTCTGCCGTTTATATTGTTTTTCTTCAGAAACCATGTCAGATTAGTCAGCCAGAGATAGAGGCAAAATGGATACAACAGCTTTATTGTAAAAAAGAATGTAGACTGTCTTCAGTGCTAGGTAAAGATAGGCTGCAGTAGTCTTCACACACCACAGCCTACTGACAAACCGTTATAATGCAGCTCAAACTTTCCATCCTAATCGATGTCTGAGATCTAGGATTTTGCAGTGCTCTGGTGCTAGAGCATGCCAAATTATGTGGTGCCCTAGGAGTGGTGGAAAGTATTCTGTGATAGTGAGGTGGAATGTCAGTGGGATCCATATTCTAGATCCAGGTTTTTGCAATGTTGCATGACTGGAACATGCCATAGTTTAGACATGTTCAGTGCAGTAGGAGGGTCTGGTCATGTTTCCTTAGTAGAAATCTGGAGGTTTGGCTGCAAAAATTGTCAGGATCAGGTTGGATCCTAGTACCAGATCTTGTTTTTTGCAGCATTGTACTGCTGGAATGTGCTGGTTCTGTACCTTTTTGATGCACTAGGACCAGTTGGATTTACTCTTTATTTTGGTGGTGGAATTTGGGGCCCAGGACTCAAAAATTGGCCGGATCTAACAGAATTCATGTCACCTATCCAAATTTCTGAAGCCTTGTGGCATTAGAACATGCCAGGTTCTGGAACTTTTTAATGCAGTAGGAGCAGTTCATTGTGTTGTATAATTATGCAGTGGCATTCTGGAGGCATGGGTACAAACATCAGCAGGATGTATGTTCTGGATCCTGGTTTTTCCAGCCTTGCAGAGCTAGGCTGCATAGAAGACCAGACATTTCTGGTGCAGCGGAAATGGCTGAGTGTGTTCTCTCAGTCAGTGACGGAATTTGAGGACTTGGGCACAGAAATCAGCAGGATCCATCAGTTTCAGGCATGGTCTGACTTTTTCCCACCACTGCATTTTTCTCCTTCTAGGTGAATACACTATTATGACAGCACATTTTCACCTGAAAAGAAAGATTGGTTATTTTGTCATCCAGACGTACCTTCCATGTGTTATGACCGTGATCTTATCACAAGTGTCCTTTTGGCTAAACAGAGAGTCTGTTCCTGCTAGAACTGTCTTCGGTGAGTATTTCACTCCTTTGTGGCGGTTATGAAAGGATTGTCTTACTCAAAGGGGTGACTTTGTGTAAGGAAATAATAGTTTACTCTGACTTATTTCTAGTCCAGGTGATTCTGTTCCCCCTACTTCTGAACCAGTTTAAACCATATGCTCTCTCCCTACCATGTTTCCAAGTCCTTTGACTTAGTTCTGATGAAAATTACACAAGAATTAAATGAGGGTTGGTGCAGGAAGAGGGAAGAAGAAATCAAATCTGTGTGTTTTTATTGTAATGGGGGAGAGGTTAATACATACCCTACACACAACAATGAAAACACTGATTTCTCTTCAAAAGTTTTAGTGTGTCTGTATTTCAAGGTGCTGATCTAGATGAATCATAAAAGAGGTTAATTAGTGCCAATTAATTTGTACTGATGATAATAGGGGTATTATTATCATCAATACAAATTAATATAATTACTCATTTACAAACTGTATCCATATTACAGAATGTATAATAGGTAAAATCCTTTTGGGATCTCTAAACAACTTGAATTATCACTAGAAGATTGCTTGTAAGCAGGAAGTAAACACCCAAGACTGATGCAATATGAAAACACAGTGGCTGGGAAAGGGAGGAGTGCAAAAATCAGTTTTGTACAAAAGTGTTTTCCCACTAGTAACAGGGAGCCAAATCTTGCTATTGATTTTTATACAGAACTCTCCACTGACATCAGTCAGGCATTTTGCTTTAAAATCAGTGGTATGAGGTGGGCCAGGACACCACAGAGACTACCTACCATGATGCCAAAGGATTGGGGACCTAATTCCACTCTGTTACACCTTTTTAAATCCAGTGATATCAGTGGAACTTTTGGATTTACAGAGGTGTAATTGACAGTAGAATTTACTCCTTTGAGTGGAATCAGTAACAATTTTGTTATTAATTTCAGTGGCAGCAGGATGAGATACCTACAATGGTTGGAAATGAATTATTGAAAATAATTTATGTTGGTTTTTTTATCTCCAAATATTGAAATCTTGCCTTATTACTGCAATTACTGCTAATTAGTTTAGTTATTCAGATCCTAATAAAGTGACTTCCAAGTTTCTTTTTATTACCTGTGATAATCTGCATTGTTAGGTTGTTCTACAAAGTTCATGCTCTATATTGGCTGAAATCCAGAAGGAAAAAGATTATAGGATTTACATGTATCTTTCCACAAACATATCCCTGCAAGTATTAGAAAGTCCGAAGATTACATTAATTCCTCAGTACACGGATAGCAGATTTTGTAATGTACTTCTTTATAAATGAGGGCTGCTATAAACGTACCACACATCAACGTGAATGAATAAAATAAGTAAGATTCTGGTTTACACCACTAATCTTTATGCATACAATTTTTAAAATGTTCTTTCAATATGTAGAAATTAAAGATGAGCTGGGTGCCCCAGAAGTCAGAAATAAGCTCCTCAAGGCAGGGACCTTGTTTTTCTATTGTTGACCAAAGTACCACGCACTTCTAAAATGCTATACAAACAGGTATTTCCTTGGGGCTGCTTAGGCATCAGGGCCTAAGTCACAAAACATTCCAAGTCTCGTGCAGAATTCTAAACTTAACTTTTTTTTTCTTTTTAAAGGAGTAACTACAGTCCTTACCATGACCACCTTAAGTATCAGTGCCCGCAACTCCTTGCCAAAAGTGGCCTATGCGACTGCAATGGACTGGTTTATAGCTGTGTGTTACGCCTTTGTATTTTCTGCGCTGATTGAATTTGCAACAGTCAACTATTTTACAAAGAGAAGCTGGGCATGGGATGGCAAAAAAGCTTTGGAAGCTGCAAAAATCAAGGTTCTTAATTTACACTTTTTGAATTATTAGAATAAGATTCAGTTACCTTGCACAGCACAAATAACTGAATGTACAATTTGCAACTGCTCCATAAAAATGTGTTTAATTCACTCATGTCACACTGTCACTGACCTTCAGGTGATAACTTGCAGGGCATGCTGATTTTTTTTTTAATGCATATGCTGTCAGAATAGGAAATATTTGTCTCTACCATGCATATGAACTGATCTGTGTTTGGAAGTATGACTGCGAGAGAGTTAAATGTATGTTACAACTAGAGCTGGGTAAAACTTTTGGGACAAATATTTTATTCACTGAAAATGCAATTTCAGGTTGACCAAAACTGTTCACAAATTCATTCTGAATTTGGCAAATAGTTTCAGTTGAAAAAAAAATCAAAATACTTTATTTCAGTGTCTTCAAAACAAGCATGTTGATTTTTCATTTCAAAACTATGTTCCATTTCAAAATGTGCTTAATTTTTTTTAAAAGGTTAAAAAGAACCCAAAACTTTTTTCATTTCACTGATAGCATCTAATTTTTTTTTGCATCAATCTGAAACCATTTTTTTCCTTCAGTCCCGATGCCAAAACAAAAGATCAATTATAGCTCTAATTACTATGGATTTTCTTCACTGAAATTAAGAATTTAAACAAATGTGTAGCATAAAATTAATATGGACAGTCCATTCCTGCTGTTATTGAATCAGTGGGAAAGCTCGCATTGAGTTCAGTAAATCAGGATCCCACAACAATCACCATAAATGCAATACAAACAAAAATACAATATGAAAGCATGAACATTTCATCTGCAATATATCCAGAGTTATTACAAATGTAGGCCCCTGTGTGCAAATACTTAGACTATTTAATGCTTACAAGCATAACTTTATTCACAGGAGTAATCCTGTCAACTTCATTGAAACTACTCCCATGTGAAAGTTACATGTATAAGTATTTTCAGCATCAGAACTTTACTGGGCACTTTGGTGACTATTGTCAGTAATAAGGGCTATTCTAATGTGTTTTATCAAATGATCCCATAAAGAAAAATAATATTTGCAGGCAATATACCTTATATCAATCCCCTGTGAAATAACTAAATACCAACACAAAAGCTACTTTCATGACTGTTGCAGCAAGCACAGAGGTGCCGGGGCTCAGCCCCGGCAAGCCCAGAACAAATTAAGCACTGACCCAAGGCAAGGATCACATCGATAAAGGATTCTGCTAGTTTACATGCTAATCTGAGACCCAGTCTTGAGGGCCTTGTTCAGCGTTCACTGATGTCAGTGGAAGTTTTGTTTGAGTAAGGGCGGCAAGATCAGGACATAAATAGTTTGTTGGGATTTGAAATGAGAACAACTAGTGAACAGTTTGCATGACTGAGTACTAAACTGATATTTTTGTTTAATCCCTGGGAACATGTTTTCACCTGCCTTCTATGTCAAATGGTATTTCCTGATTTATATTACAGAGAAAAGAGCGTCAATTACTAGGAAACAAATCAATTAATGCTTACAGTGCTGGAAGGACAGCCCCCACACCAAACGTACCAAAGGACTCAGCCCCATCAGTCATCTCAAGCGCTGCAACTGTTGCAGTGAAATCTGCAGAAGAAAAGCCTGCTGAAAGCAAAAAGACTTATAACAGCATCAGTAAGATTGACAAAATGTCCCGAATAGTTTTTCCAGTATTGTTTGGAACTTTTAATTTAGTCTATTGGGCCACATATTTGAATAGGGAACCTGTTATTAAAGATGCTACTTCTCCAAAATAAACTGAAGGACTCCAAAACCACACGTGAGCCATATTAATAAAGCAAATGCTACCACGGAGAATATGAAGGCCAGAAAACTTTCTATACTTGAGCAATATTCTTCAGGAAGTTTTTGCATGTTTAATAATATGTACAAATAATATTGCCTTGATTGTTTCTACATGTAACAGCAGATGTTTCAGAGACAGTGACATTAATAATTACAGCCACAGATCTTTTTAGAAGAACACAAGAGAAGTCATAGAACATGGCTTCTATGCTGCACAGTATCTTACATTGATAGTTTATAAATAAAATAAGTTATATTTTTAACTGTTCAAGTGTATTACATATCTGAAGTTTTTATATGTCTAATGTACGTCAGACATACATAGGTGTAACCTATATTTTACAGAAATGTTCCATTATTGTCATCTAATAGGGTACCATGAATAATGCAGGTTGTAAATATAATAATTCTCATGTAGGGTCACATTCCACCACCCTTACTCTCTCCAAGGAGCACCTTATTCCACAAATAATCCCATCAATCCAGATTCTCAGCCAGTGGACATGGACATAGTACCTAGTGCTGAATGGAACTATGCTAATTTACACCACCTGAGAATCTGGGTCACAGATTTTTGTGGGACTGCGGAGGAGCAAGGTGCTACTCAATGTAAATAAAGGTTGTAGAATCTTATCCTTAGGGGGGAAGTCAGTTTTTTCACATTCCAACTACATTTTTCTCTGGTAATTCTCATTGTTTATTGCAAAAATTAGGCATGCAGTGCACAAAATTATCTTTAAAAATAGACTAAGAACATACTGTGCAGATAAAACATTAATGTCCTTAATATATACTTTCATTAGGGTAACATAACCAGCGTTTGGCCAACATCTTCCATTGAAGAAGAAGATGCCTCTGAAATAATGATTATTTCTTATTCCCAATAACAAGAAAACAATCACCCAACACAAAAAGGGGTGTCAGAGAAAGAAAGCTACTCTTCATGACAACCAGGTCTTTCAGAGACAATACGGGCATTTTGGTCTTTATCTGAAACTTTTCTATAACCTCCTTGCTGCTGCCCGGGTGTTTTGCTTCAACCATGAATAAGAAAGCGTAATTTGAGTTTTCAACTTTTTTTTAGACGTTTGGCATGACTGCTCCATTGCTCCAGTAGCTTTTGTAATTTAATCTTAATGTTTAAATAAAAAAAAATGCATTCAAAATTTGGTTGCAAAATGTCCTCCATTTCTAGCTTATCATTTTGGGAAAACTTAGTCATACTGAATGTTTAGCTTTAAGCCAGCTAAGGACCTAATCCAGCAAACACACACAAGTAATGGTGTGCATACGAGTACTCTCACTGATGCCAGTAGAGCTACTGAATATGTAAATACAGTTATTCATAATGTGTCAATGTTTGCAGAATCAGGCCCTGAGTCCATTCTGAATGTGTGTGTTGGGGAGGCTGTGCCCAACCTGTACTGCAGGCTTCTCTTTTCCCTACCAATTTTTGGCAAGTCCTTTTTAAGGCTTCTACTCTATAGAGAGGTAATGAACAGGCCAGGGGTTGGAGAAGTGTCTGGAATTCTCTGGCTTCTTCCTTGCCTTTCCTCCATTTCACCACTCTGAAACTCCTGAAAGGAAACAGCAGATTATAAACAAAAGGTGTAGTAAGTTTTGCTGCTCTACCATCCATGTTATAGGATTGCATCTTTAGGGAGGATCCAGGGGGCGCTACAGGAACTGTGCTCTCTCAAAACCAGCAAGAGCCAACAGGGCCAAAGAATAGAGTGGAAGTTATCAGAAAAACAGTAGAGAGGAAGAGGGTCCAGTGACTAGGCTGGTAGCCTGGGACACAGGAGACCATGGTTCAATATTCTGCTCTGCAGTATTTTAACTGGAAAGATAGGATGGTTTTTAGTGGCTGGCCCTTGGCTCCTGCAAACTTCATGCATTTAAAGGATCCCCGACATAAGGAGTACCCTGTTTCTTTCAGCATATAGCTGCAACCACTGGGGAGGAGGAAGGTGGAATGAAAGGGACATGTGCCCTCAATTCTTACTCTTCTGTGTTCCTTTCAGTGTGGTCTCATGCATTCTCTCTCATGGTGCCCAACAATTTTTTATGAGGTTGCTCGACTACATCTGGGATCAAAGGGAATGGAAGAACGAGTAGGATATTCAGTGAGTGGCAACTCCAATGTTTCCTCTCCTTTATGTGGGTTATTCCTATGCAGGAGTGAGTGGGATCCAAAGAGGTCTTTTTGTTTTGCTGTGTTATTTCTTACATTATAAAAAGAGGCCCAGTTTGATACTTTGGTGAAAGATGATTATTTTTAAATTATCCTTGCTCGGGCTGCTTACAATTACTCTTGAATGATCACTTACACTTTTTGGTTCTCATGCTTAAACTCAGCGCAAATACCTACCTCTCTGAGTACATTTCCTCAGATGAATAGTCACCTTTACTTAGATGGAACTAATCACATGTGTATAGTTGCTCAAGTGATCAAGTGTTTGCAGGACTGAGCCCTTTGTCTGGTTTCTTTTTAGTATAAAGTTTCTAGGAGTTTGGTTGATGTGTAAAATATACGGGTGGGCGGGTGTGAACTGCATTCCTCTACCCCCTCTATGCTTTAGAGAGGATTTGCCTCCAGAGAAAGGTAAGAAGTGTTTAATATTAGAATATTGGTGGGAGTGAGGGAGGAAATATCTTGGGATCTGAGGACAAAATCTTGTGCATTAAAAAAAGAATACGTACAAGGACAAAACCAATTAATAACCACACTGTAGGGGAAAGAGAAATTAACAGGGACTGCCCACAGTGGTGTTTAATCTATTAGTCACTGAAAGAAAATTAGGAAAGTTTATGGGTGCTGCTAAGTCATTTGTTTCAGTCAGGTGGAAGTTTGAAGAATTGCAAGGACCTCCACATGGATTTGGGCATATTGGACAGAACGATAACAGATGAAATTTACACCTAGGAAACTTTAAAATAATACACCTTGGAAAAAAAAGCTCAAACTTTTCATATATGTTGATGGGCTGTGGTGGAAGGATGGTCCAGTGGTTAGAACACTAGCCTGGGGCTCAGGAGAGCAAGGTTCTGTTACTTCATCTTCCCCAGACTTCCTCTATGACAGAGATCCTCATCTGAGGGGTGCACCTCCCTAGGGAGGACACGGGGAATGTTTGGGGGGGGGCGTGAGAGGACCTGGGCCACCCCCACATGGGTGGGGCGGGAGCTCCACCCAGCTCCGCTCCACCCCCAGCTCTGCTTCGGCCCCACCTCCAGTTGCGACCCCTGAGCAAAGCCCAGCTGCAGCTCTGCCCACAGCCAGGCCCTGGTCCCAGTCCTAGCCCCACCTCAAGTCTGGCCCCATCCCCTGGCTGTGGCTCCATTCCCAGCTCTGTCCCCAGACTCACCCCCAGCCTCAGCCCCTGGTCATGGCTCCATTCCCGGCCCTGGCTCCAGATCTGCCCACAGCTGCAGCCCCAGCCTCAGCCTCATCCCTTTACCCCTGTCCACTTCCCCCCTGGGACTCCCAGCCCTAGCTCCGGCGGGAGAACAGGAGTAAGGGTGGAAGTGACCCTGAAAAGTTTGGGGACCACTGCTCTATGATCTCTGGACAAGTCTCTTTGTGTCTCAGGTTCCCGCCTGTGAAATGGGGATAACACCACACCCTTCCCTTGCAGGGGTGCTCTGAGTAAAGACATTAAAAGATTGTGAGGTGCTGAGATGCTACAGCAACAGGCTTTTGGGGAGGGAATGTATCATATTTAGACTTGGCCTCATTAGCCGAGATAAAAGATTTGGCGTCTTTATTGGTAGCTCAGTAAAAGATCTCTGCGCTGTGTGAAACAGCAGTTAAAGATAAATTACAAAATAGATATAATTTATTATATAGAACTGTCAAGGCTGATTCCCCACTCTGGCACTTCGAGTGCAGAAGGTGGGGGCCCACAAGGATTCTAAAAATTAATACTGGCCACTCCAGGCTTGTATTAAACTCCCAAGGTTACAGCTTTTCGCTGACCTTGGATGGGTAGATGTTGCCACCACCCAAGTGCAGAACCGCTTTGAGAACCCAGGAAGGTGCATTTGGGAATTCCTTCCTGTGGGGTATCCTCAAGCCCTTTCACCCCCCTCCAGGGAAGAGCTGAGAAGAAAAAAAAAGGGAAATCAGCTGTTGCCACCAGCTAATTAAACAACATGTGCACAAACCTCTTAAGACACAAAAATCCAATTCTGTTCTTAAAAAAGGCAAATTTTATTAACTAAAAAAAAAGAAATAAAATACATCTGGGAACTCAGGCTACTGCTAGATTTTAAAAGAGCAATTACAAGAATTAAGCACCAAGAATAGCTTTCTTGAGATCCAGCTTAAAGGTTACAAGCAAAACAAAAGCACCTGGGTTTAGCACAGAGGAATCCACAAGCCATAACGAAATAAAAGCGATAAACCTAATTGTGTCTTCCTAGACATTTCTTGATCTACTTACATATCTGGGGTTTTAAATGAATAGTTTCTAGGTATGATCCTGATGATCTTTCATAACTGGCCCAAGCTCTTACAGCATAGCTGCTGTCCTCTTCACATCTCCCCGGGAGAACAACAGACAGACAGACAATAGGGGAGTCTTTTTTCAATTTTAAAAAGTTCCATTTGCATCTGAAGAAGTGAGGTTCTTACCCACAAAAGCTTATGCTCCCAATACTTCTGTTAGTCTTAAAGGTGCCACAGGACCCCCTGTTGCTTTTTAAAAAGTTCCATTGGCTCTTTAGGCCAGGCGCCCACTCACTTCCTTTTACCTATGCATCACAGTGAGACTTTTTAACCCTTTACAGGTAGAGCAATTAGAGAACAGCTACTAAGAGGGATTTTATAGCTATGCCTGGCTGGGTAAGCTACCTCCCCCACTTCATTTATCACAAGAACATATAAATACCATGCCATTAAATAAAACAATAGTATGTCCTTTTGTTGGGGTGTTGTTTTTAATAATGGTCATGTCACTTTAATATAGCAAAGCTGGAATAGGTCCAGAGAAGGCAAATGGTGTATTTAAACGCACGAGGAAGAGGATATCAGTACAAAAGGACAAACAAGAACTAGACTGAGATAGTTAATGTTATAAATGGTGGAGTAAAATGCTCATTTCCTTTTTTTGGTCCTGATCCAAAATCCACTGACAGCAACAGAGAGACTCCCTTAAACTGTGGTTGGTATTGGTGTGGTGGGTTCCCTCCGGGGTGCCACCTGGAACTGGGGTACCACTGAGCCCCTCCCCCCCCAGCCCACTAGCCTGGGCTCCCTTTTACACTGTATTGCTGTGACAAGCTACAAAGCCCTCTCTAGCCTGCATTTTCACCAATATAGATACAGTTAGGGACACACCCAGCTGCAGTTACATTCAGGCACTTTGACCAGCTGCTGCATATGAAGATGTCAGCAAGGGCAACAACCAGATGATGTCACTCCCCACCTTCTACAGCTTTTACAGATATGGTGAGAACCCTTTGTTTCAGAGCTTGCTCCCCAGACCTGTCTTTGGAAAAACACTGACATTCCAAGATGGAATCTAGAGACATGTGGTCACAACACATGTCTTTGTAGAGTCATAGCAGCCATTACTCAGAGGCTGTCTGTAGCGTTCTCAGGAAGGCTCCCCAGGTGGGAGATAAGCTTCTCCTAAGGCCCATTGTTTTCCTAATGGCCCGTTTCCAAACCACTGTCTAGAATGAAAGCATCTTGTCTAGTGGCGTTCCCGGGTGTAACTACATTGGAAATGCAGAGACATAGTCAATATTCATAACTTCAGATCAAAAAATGATACATGCATACAAATAGGATAATCATATTCAGCAAATCATAACCTTTCCAATGACACCTCGCATGACTTATCTTGCATAAAATACATCATAATTTCATATCATATCACTGAGAAGAATATGGGGTGCAGGATCACAGTTGGATCAGGTCTATTTTTTCTCTATTACAGAAATAAGGGGACTCTTGCTTACAATAGATTTAGAATGAAGGATGGGTAATACAGCACTATGAAGTTATAGTTGAGTTCTGTAATTCATTACCACAGGAGGCCATTCAGTTAAACAGCACAAGAGGGGTTTTGTAAAGGGCTGGCTGATTGGATGATAACTTATAACACTTGTAGCACTATCTGCTTGCCTAACAACAGCAATCAGTTCTGTTGCTTCAGGTTGCAAGGTAATCATTTGTGAATACCAGGAAGGGATTTTTCTTCAATGTAGACCCCCCCACTGTACAGTTGGACAGGTGTGCTAGAAGGGTTTCTGCTTTCTTTGATAGCATCCGTTGAGGCTGCTGCAATGGAACAGTAAATGATCCACATGCATGTGTATTTCAATGCAACAGAAGAAATGTACTAGGATTTGCAGCATTGATATTATTTGTATTGCAGTAACAATGCCCAGAGGCCACAATCAGGACCTGAGTTCCATTGTGCTGTATTGTGAAGACCTTGTCTGCACTAGAAGGGTTTTGCCGGTATAAACCAGTAAAACACTCCTAGAGTAGACATATTATACTAGCATAAAAGTGTCTTTGCCTGGATAGCTTATTCTAGTTCAGGGAACAAAACAAGTTATACAGGCAAAAGTGCTTTTATACTAGGCTGGTATAGCTATGTAGATAAAAATCACACCCATAACCACCATAGCTATGCCCAGAAAACTTTTAAGGGTACTTATGCTTGAAGACAGGGTCTCTGCATCAAAGAGTTTAGAATCTCGTTTGGGACAACATGAGAAGTGGATGGAAGAGACAATAGGATGGGAATGGGGAGGGTGGACAAGGCTAGCTGGCATGTATGCTGTAAAGGGTAGGGGGAAAGTAAGGGAGTGATTCCTCATTGCTTAACTCCAGTTCTAGGTGACAGTACGTGGATTGATTTTGATGGAGTTATGGGAGTGAAGCAAGGCAGTGGTGAATCAGGCCCTGAGCTAGTTATAGGAACAAGCTTCACCCAGAAACAGGCACTGGAGCCTTTTCTATAGGAGGTATATTACACCAGAGGCGCTTCCATATAAGATTAAAGTTGCTGCCTCTGCTGTACTGGAAAGAAAACAGAGGAGCCAGTTCCATCATTGTTTGGTGGTGACGCCCAGCTATTTAAATCCCCTTGGGCTATTAGAGAGACAATGTGGATGAGGTAATATCTTTTATTGTACCAACTTCTGCTGTTGAAAGAGAGGAGCTTCCCAGCTACACAGAGCTCTTCTCCAGGCCTGGGAAAGGGTCACAGTGAAGTACAAGGTGGAACAAATAGAAGATGTGCTAACGACTTCCACTAAACGAAGGGACCACTCAAGATGAAGTGGGCCGTTGACATACTTGTGCATTATGGACCAAGCAACCACCTTTTGTTTGATTACGGGTTTTTCTAGAGGGGACCTCCTGAGGACGAGATGATCAGCACTTCAGCTTTAAGAGCTAAACCGCTTTCAGTCTGTGGCGGCTGGCAGGACGGGCTTCCTTACCAAAACTCCCCATCTACCGCTCATTTTAAAAACCTGTCTCCCCACACTTTTTTTTCCTGGTGAGCACTTGCCTCCTGCTATTAAACCGCAGCCTTTCAGACAGCTGCTGGAGGATCCGGCGTTACCCTGGGATTGCTTGCAAATCGCCTATAACCGGTGCTTCACGTGGCTTGCCCCTAGCAGAATCTACTAGTGAGCTCAGCTGGAAAAGGAAAGCAAAGCCCCTCTCCAAGTGTTTGCTAAGACGTATTTCTCAGAGCAGCCGCAAGAGGCTCCTGCAGCCAAGGAAGAATCGTGCAAGTAGCAGCTCTTCCTTGTCACCAGAAGAAGGAGAAGCATCGGGATGATGCCTGTGAGCAGGAGAGAGCCACTTAGCTCTAGGACACATTTCCCTCGCCCCTGGGGTAGAGTGAAATCAGTCTGGGTTTCCGTATCCGCTGCTCCCAAAGACTAACTCTTCAGCACGCGTTGGAAGTGGGACCCTGCAGTTCTGTGTGACTTGCAAGTATCGATCGTCTCCTAGTGTTCCGGGCATTTCTGTAGCTGTACAGTTACCATCTCCCCACTCGCAGACCTGGACAAACCTACAGGAGGCGGCCCAGGAAATGCCGCGCCCACTAACCGGCTGCGGCTCCCCTGGAGCTGGCCACGCCGCAGGTGCTGAATTTGGGGATAGGCGCTGAGACTGGATAACAGCGAGCGGAGGCTGCTCCTGCGCATACAAACAACACTTGCGAAACTCCCCAACACAAATGGAAATCCCCGGACAGACAGCCACATATGATATAACATCCGCCTGTCCTATCCCAGCGGGGACACCAGTCTAGCAAGGTCTCGCGCCAACTTTTCCCGATTTCACTGCTGTGAATAATTGCACACAATGTTGTATCCAGCTCCGGTGCAGTGTGTCCGCTTTAGCAGGCGTCCTCGGACAGTCTGCTACGATGCAATTTCCTTATGTCCTTAGAGCTGGCAAAAGTGTGGCTGGTATTTGTAAAACCGTTGTTTATATAACCCGCTTACCTCTCTTCCCAAATCGCTAGGAACGTTAAGGTGGGAGTTTAAGATGAACTTTAAATTTAGATAATATACTTTCCAATAGGGAAGACAAATGCATGTATATTATATGCCATATGCTACATTGTTGAAGGAAGAGCCACCTTTCACTGAGACCTAAGATATCAATAGTTCCGTTCAGGAACAATGAGTTATGCAAAGGTACTAAATCGATTCCTTCAATAACATACCTTTATAAATCTAGCTTAAACTGTTTTAGACACCTGAAATATGGTCATTTATCCGAAAAAAAATTGTTGATAATTGCAGATAACCTTTCAAATGAGCATAGCAAAGCATAGCAAAAGAGGCTCTTCATTGATATAAACATTTCAAACCCCTGCACTATGACATGGGCAGTATGGTGAATTTTAGAGCACTGAAAATGAAAATAAAGCTTTCCTTTGAACTTCTGATCCCTCTTGTTACAACGAACAGGAGGTTCCACTGTTAGCCTGGATTCCCCTGCTGGCGATATGAGAGAGATACAGATTTGATAACAGATGATTAATAATTAATAATAATTTGCATTCAATGCAATTAGATAAAGTCAACACATAACAACTAATGTATAATAGGACAAATGAAACTATAGGTTCCAAGAAATGTGCATCATTGGAAGTTAAGTGCCCGGATCACGGTGGATTTCCTTTAAGCTGTATCATTCCAATAATAAATAACTCCGGGAACATAAATCCTTCTATCAGATGCATCTGAAGAAGTGAGGTTTTTACCCACGAAAGCTTATGCCCAAATAAATCTGTTAGTCTTTAAGGTGCCACCAGACTCCTTGTTGTTTTTGTAAATCCTTCTAGTTATCTCTGTAACTATTTTTTAGACTTCACATTACAAGTTATTCTGAGCACAAGATTACAATTTAATGTATAACTCTTTTTTTCATTTAATGTCATTTATGATCACTCAGAAGCCTTGGAGGCGGGAAAGGAAGAAAATATGCCTGATGTACTTTCACAACAAAATGAATATATAATGTATTTTTGTCAGAATTTCTTGTTTCTATATTTGTGTAATGTAAATCAAATCTTTTGACTGCTTTTGTTCTGTTTCCAAAGTAACGTGGGTATTATTCGTCTGATACCTCAGAGGTGCACAGACCTGAAGTAGTAAATCAAAAATTATATCCACGATATTTTTTAATCGCAGTGTGTTCAGGTCCAAGCTTCAGGTTCAGGTTCACAGGCTGTTCAGGTCCAAGCTATTGTTTGTTGGCTTGAAAACACTTTGGGTCAAACTTGCTTCTCAACACTTATTTCCTATGGTGGATAATACATTATTTAGACGTACCCATTGCAAACATATCAGAGACTTGGGTTCTTTACTGTACACCTATTGTAATATGCACCACCACCATCTAAATCAATGATCTCAGTTCACAGTCCTAAATAGAAACCCATCCGGGGCCACAGTTACCAAGTGCGGGTTGGACTGGGGGAGGTGGGGGGTTACAAGTGTCCGCATTACTATGCAAAGCAAAGGGTTCCTATTTTGGCCCGTACCCCGAATTGTCTCAAAGAGGAGGGCAGATTCAGGCTGTACCGCACACACACACACTCCCCTCCACTTCAAGTTGTGCCTGTGGGGATCTGAACCTCCCCGCCTCAGGCTCGTTTCTATCCTTCTAATTATTGCAACTGTTAGAGACCTCCCCGCGCGTCCAAGGAAACCCACAGCAACGGCTCGCCAAGCTGGGCTTGGATCCCTCCTCGCCCGTTGTCAAAAACTCGTCTCCTCCTCGCCAGGAGCGAACCGAATAGAATGGGCTCCTCTCGGTGGGGACGCTGCCAGCCCAGCACCAGCAGCCACGCCGGGGCTCTGGGGGAGAGACCAAGCCTGCTGCTGGCTGTCATTTAACTGCACCGGGAGGGAGTTCCCTCTCCCTTCTCCCCCTGTCCATCGTTACGGAAGCGGGAGAGCAGGGGGTGGGGGAAGGGCTCTCTGGCAGACTCTGCTCCTTTCGGACAACCCCACTGGTACCTGTTGGTCAGGGACAGGGACCCAGGGGCTCAGTGCGTTCGGGCCGGAGCGCCTGGCTGCAGGGCAGGGCCCGGGCTGAGGTTGGCTTCCACTGGGGGGCTGGTGCGCTACTCCCCCCCCCCCCACCACACCCCGCCTGCTGTCCTGGTGGTGCCTGGTCTCGCTCGCCGCTCCCCACCGAAGGTGCCTGGCTAATACACCTCTGAAAAGCAGGAGGGGCCGTTTCCTTATTCCAGCCCAGTGACTGCCAGCGAGGGGAAGCGCTGGAGCTCCCCAGCACCTGCCCGCCCGTGGAGCCGGTTTTACACTGGGAGCTGGGAGTGTCTGCTTGGGTGTTTGGCTTTGGGGTTTTGGAGCAGTGCAAGAGGGATATTCTGCCCCCGGGCTAGAGCTGGGAATACACCAGGAGAGAGAGAATCCAAGCGCTATCCCATCGCCTCGTTATTTTTCGTGTGAACGTCCGGCAACATTTACTCCATCCTGCTGCACCTGGTACCTGCTCAGATCATGTCAGCTAAGCTGCTGGTGCTTTTCTTCCTCCTGGCAGTGTTTCAAGCCTGGTAAGTCTGCGCCGTGCAGCCCCTTACAGTGTTTCCTCCCAGGTGCTTCCATGTAATGTTTGTTGCTCATGTCGGAATATCACCCACAGAGTTGGGAAAATACTTAGTCCGAGAGACACAGGAGGCTATTCCGCCCCTTTCTCTTGCCCCCGTTATCCTCTGCAATATTTGTATTCTGCCTGCTCTGTAGTGTAGCTAAACTAGCTAGTTGGTATCAGCCCCCCCATCCCTCCATTCACTGTCAATAGCCGTTATCTCGGACGGGTTTTTGTACTACTCCCGAGCTCCGGATTGTAATTTAAGGCTCGAGAAACTGAGATCCGTAGGCTTCTGCCACGGAGTTGGATAAAATCTCTCCGCTTCACCTGGCTCTGCAAAAAGTTTCCCCATTACTTCGCTTGTCATGGAATTAACCGAGCCCCGAGGGTTGCCAACTGGGATCTCTCTGCAGCTGTACCCACTTACTAGACATGGCGCGGGTCTTTTATGTACTATGCAGCGTGTGGCTAGGTCAGGAGTATCATTCAATTAGGGGTTTAGTCTTCAAAGTACCTGCCTCAAGGATTCAAGAAAGCCAAGGAAAGCAGGCGAGGGAAGAACGGGATATTCTGGCTGGAAGCAGGTAAGGTCTGCCCAGGAAAAGGTAACTCAGACAACGACCAAGCCAGTAACCAAAAGGCTAGTGCAAGCTTCACTAGTTCTATCACTGCAACGGATGCAAACAGGTCTTCTGAATTTCTTGCGCTGGTAATTTCTTCGGCAAGATCAATGCGATTTTTTTGCCTAAATTTCTCCTCTGAGGTTATCCATGGGAAAGTTTTCCGTTGACAATAGTATGAAGGGGTTATGATAATACCTTAATAACCACACAACAGTCCCCCGTGGAAACATCACTATGGATATGTCATCCTGGCAATCCGGAGATTGTGCAGTTTGTAAGTATGCCCCTGTTTAGCCTGTTGGGAGCTGATCTCCAGCAAACCCTTCCTCATAGGAACACCCCTTGTTCACCTGAATGCCATTCAAATGAAGTGGAGAACTGCAGGAGTAAGAGTTACTCAGGTGAGCAAGTGTTACAGAATCGGGCTTTTCAAGGAAAGTTCAGGGCATTTAACCACGAGGGAGTTTCTGTCACTAAGGACTTGATCCTGGGAGTGGCCGATTATTATTAATATAAAATACTTAATGCAACACTTGAAAACGTAGGTGATTGGCCATCTCTTACAACAGAAACCAAAGACTGAGACCTAGGAGGAGAAAAACTGACGAAGAACTCTTCAGGAAACTCTAATGAGGAGAGCTGGGGTAAATACCCTGTCATTTACACGGCAGGTCTGGTGTGCAATCTGCACAGCGAATACTCTTAGTTTAAACTCCAAAGTCCAGCCCAGTATTTCTCACTGGCTAACTTTCTGTAAGACCATTATGTCTCCTATGGAACAGTTGCTGGGAATGCTGCCATAGGCATCTCCCCTGAACACAGCACACTGAAGTATAAAGGCGCAGACACATTGAGAGTTAACTTACTCGCTTGCTCTCCCACGCACACACACAAACTGAAATACTGAATTCCTGATTACGTGGACATTCAGATTTTTCTTTGTAAACCAAACCCTGGGGAGAGAGTGCGTCTCAGACCCCTTCTCAGCTCACCTCACTATCTGGTACTCATTTCCCGCAGACACAATTTTTCCTCCATCCCCCACAAGCCCATGGTTACCTCATTGTTTATTAATATCAGCTCTTCAGAGCAGATGGCAAGATTTAGAAACTGAGGCTGCAGACAACTTTTCCCCGTTAAAGAAAACACCTTCCTACAGCATTTCAAGCTTCCTTCTCTGTTGTGTTTTTGGGGGTACACCACGGTTTTGTTTCCCTCTCATAATAATAATAATAAAGCTAGTGTTACATAATAAGGATTTGGAGGGGAGACAGCCCTGCTTTCCATTTTACAACATACCTAAAAAAACAGCCCCTCTTTCTCTGTGGCTGTTGAAAAGTCTTGGAATATGGTTGTCAGCTCCTGGGAGTGGGGACTAAGCAGTTTAGTGATGACAATGCATCCTAAATGCTTAGTAGGAGCCTATTGGGTTAGAAGCACATAAATAAAGGTAATAAAAGTGCCTGTAAATATAAATATATATATATATATAATGCACATCACTGTAGTTAGCACATTACTCTGAATATTTTAGTTACCTCTCCCAACCCCCAGTTGCAATCAAGCATCTAGATGCAAACACAAACCTCCAGTATGTAGCTTTCTGGGAAACAATTTACTGGAGGAAGAAGATTTAAAAAAATCTGGCAAGTGTTATATTATTGTTGATTATGAGTTTAAAGAAGCCAATATCTAAATTGTGAACCACTATACAAAATCAACGTGCTAGAATGAACACGTCCCTCATTTACACCCATGCAAATCCACTGAAGGAATCAGGTTGCAAGGATACAGCGCAGGTCAGAATTTGTCCAAATGCCTGATTTTTATTCATAGTTCGTCCAACAATGCAGATAATTAATTGTTGGACACAAGAAATGCATATCTAAAAATAGTGCATGATTGAGAATGATTCTGAAAATGTTGTATTACAAATATTTGGCTTATCAGGAGTCTCAAAGAAAAAAATATCTTAGATTGAGTGATACCAATGAGCAAGAGGAGCTGAAAGTTATAGCTCGTGCCCCAGAAAATAAAGTTTCATTATTTAAAATGCTTCCCTCCCCCCCTCCCAATTTAGTTATATATCTTTCAGGCTTCATCCTACAAGTCTTCCACACATAGAATTCCCAGTGGCTCCATTTAGAAATAATTCTATATAGGCTTCATATGAACAGGGAAAAAACTGCATCCCCCCCACCCCCCAAAAAAACCGCAACCCTTTACACATATGGTATATTCTTTGAAGGGTTCAGAGAATGGTCCCCTGAATAAAATCTTTATTCACTATGATAATTGTGGATATTTTTCTATTTATACATGGTGCCCATCACAGACAGACAATCTAGACTTTTAAAAGCATTATAAAAATAATAATAATCCAATGTCATGATACACACCCCTCCCAAAGTACTTCTGAACCCACCAAAGAAGAAATACAAATACATTCTAGGCCTAACTCAACTCATCCTTTCATAAAAAGCCTGAGCAAAGAGTTAAGACTTGCAATGTGCCCCAGAAGATCAACAAATTGATACTGAAGGAAGGGGAGAAAGCAAGTTTAAGAGTTTATGGCCTTGTCTATATATGGGGCTTGCACTGATGCAGCTTTATAGATAGCTCTAGTTTGGGGAAATCTCTAGTGTAGATATGGCCTATGCATCTGATTCGCCACTGCTTTGCACCTTGTGTTGTTCTTCACACTTTGCAAAATGGGTGTAAAATTACACCCAATCAGAATGGCATAGGCAATGTAGAAGGCCATGGAGAATCAGGCCCAAGGTTCCACCACTGAGATCATCCTTCTTCCAACTGCATATATGCAACTCTCATGACAGTCTGTGTCCAGATGTTCTCAAATGTGATGGATAAAGCAGATGTGGTCTCTAAGATATTGAAACCCAAACCATAAAAGACTTTAGAGATTGAAGTCAATATTTTGCATTGCACTCAGAAAGCAACTGGTAGGACAGATGAAAATGGATTCCCATGTGTGAAAACAGCATGTTTGTTCAGCCACATTCTATGCTAGCTAGGTGTGTTGGAATAATTTTTATAGCAGGGGTGCTGAGAGCCATTAAACCAAACTGTAAACTCAGTATATAATGGAAACCACTTAAAGCCAGAGGGTGCAGCTGCACCCCCCCACACTCTTAGTTCCAGCACCTAAGGCACTAGCTAAAGTTTCTGGACAATTATTAGTTGTCAACTTGTTTTAATGCCTTATTCACATAACAAAGATAATCTACCTCTTGTAGAAAGAAGAATCTTAGCTCCTGAAATGCCCAAAATACAGAACTATAAAAAACAGAATGGCTTAGACTCTGAGATTCAAACAGACTTATGCAACATATTTATGTACTTGTGATAATTCATATTACATTCAAGAAGCATGTACTTAATTCTAACCCATGTGCTGCATTAAGTTCTGAAATTCAAAAAACATTGAGAGTGTAATAATTTATTAATAGGATGAAACAATCAGGAAGTATTAAAAGAGCTGAATTTTTAATATTCTTATTAGCCTGCTGTACAAGAGATGAATCAGTTGTGTTGAAGGAGTCAGTATAATACTGCAGGATGTTCACCCACCATAGAATTCTGTTACCAGTTACCCAGTCACCAGTGAGTTATCAGTTATCTATCAGTTAATCTGTTGATTTTTCAAAAAAGTGATCTAGTCTGCTCCCTGCATTAATCCACAGATTGAAGTTCCAGTGAGAAATCAGTGGTGTGAGATGGATTATATAATTATTTTCAGTTAGTGCCCCCTACACAGACTCTTTTACTTCTGGCAATAAATACCTCCTTTAATAAAATAGTTCTAAAACTAGATAGCTGAGAGAGAATAAAGAACTCAGACTTATTGAAGTGCCTGTTGAGATTTAGTCAATGTAAATTCAGATTTTAGTTACGTAACATAACATTTGATTTTTTTATTGCAGTTCCAGAAAGGTTGAAGAGGATGAATATGAAGATGTAACAGGCAACCAGAAATGGGTATTAGCTCCAAAAACGCAAGACACAGATGCGACTCTCATATTAAACAAGTTGCTGAGGGAATACGACAAAAAGCTACGGCCAGACATTGGAAGTGAGTCCTCTTTTTCTTTCTGTGGAAAAGATACACCATTGTCTAGATAGAAATATTTTGTGTTTCTATTAACGATGGGCTTGATTTGCAAAGTTAAGATCCGGATCCAAACTTTGACAAAGATCAGGAATGTTCAGGTCCAGGCTTTTGGTTCAGTTCTAATATAGTGTGGCAGAGCTCCGACCATGTCCCCGTGGGTCCTGCACTTCTAGGCGGTTTATGCTAGCCTCAGTGGCTCACTGCAACCCTCCATGTAGCCCTTCTCTCTCTAGGGCCAGGGTTACAGTCTACTGAGCCCTTTTCATCATAAGCCAGCAAGGAGGTTGGTGAGAGAACTCCCAGAGTCTCTGTTGTCCCTAGGGACTTATTTCAGAACAGTTTAGCCTCTTGTCCTGACAGGGGCCTGTCTTCCCCTCCCAGGAGATGTTTCTGTAGTGGCAGGTTGGGGGGAACCCAGGCCCGCCCTTTACCCTGGTTTCTGCCCCAGGGAACCTAATGGTAGCAGCTGTTGGCAGCCAACCTTTCACTGCCAGAGTTGCTACATTTCCCTGGACCACTTCCCCACAGCTCTCCCACTTCTCTCTTCTTCACCCTTACCTTAGGGCTCTCTTACCAATGGCTTGAGAGTGTCTTCATTAACCAGCCCTTCAGCCAGACTTCCTCTCCTCTGGCTCCTTGGCTCTCTTCAGCCTGACTGGAGTGAGCCCTTTTATAGGGCTTTAATTAGAGTCAGGTGTTCACATTACCTTAATGGCCTCACCTGACTCTTTGCAGGTTAATTGGAGTCAGGTGTTCTCATTAGCCTGGAGCAGCCCCTGCTCTGGTCAGTCAGGGAACAGAAAACTGTTAATCCAGTGGCCAGTATATCTGCCTTCTACTACTTTGTTGTACTGCCCCTTCTGTGGCGTGAGGGAGACCATGGCACACGTTTACCTAGAGTGTGCCAGGTTGCAGCCCCTATTCCAGCTCCTCTTGGATATATTATTACATTTTTGGTTGCATTTTTCCCCTCATCTGTTCATCTACGCATCTACGCACTCCCCATCCGAGACCCCACAAAGTCGCGGGACCTCCTTGTCAACCTCCTCTTGGCCCTGGCCAAACTGGCCATTTACAAAACCAGGGCGAGGAGGTTGGCCGACGGGAGTTCCTGCGACTGTGGGGCCTATTTCCGCTCCTCAGTCCATTCATGCATCCAGGCAGAGTTCCTCTGGGAGGCGTCCGCTGACTCCCTTGACGCTTTCGAGGAGCAGTGAGCGCTGTCTGGGGTTCTCTGCTCGGTGTCCCCATTAAGTTTCCTACGTTTAGCCCTTTGACCACACTCCTGTCCCTGTTATTTCATTTGTTGTCCCCCAGAATTACTTCATTATCCAGGTCCTGTGGATCTTCCCCTTAGGCTGGGGGGAGGTCCTTTGGCAGTGCAGGGAGCCACTTCCTGGCTACCAATAAGACTACTTTGTTGTACCCAACTGGCCTGGGTTTATCAGAGTAGGTATTCAATCCTAGCATTTTATAGCAAATTACAAATACCAATTCTCACAGCACCCTTAGGAGGATGCTCAACATGATTAGAGCTGTTTTACAGAGGGGCAATTTGGCGGACAGAAATATTAAATGGCTTGTCCAGGATTATATGATTGGTCATTGGCAGAGTCAGGAATATATTTATTTCCATTTGAGTACACAAGACAAAAAAAGCTCTCTGTGCATCCTGACGAATGATTAAAATAACAGTCCACAAAACCAACAAAAACAGCAACAGAAGCCCAGTGGACTCATATCCGGCCCCCTTCCAACAGTGCTGTATAACTACATAAGTTTCCTTGCCAAGGGGCCTCCTGCAGCTCAGAAGGAGGGGGCTGGATTTGCCTCTCAGAAGATGAAGGGCAACTTGTGGGGGGTTTCCTAAATCTTCCAATCAGAAACCAGGGGAAATGTCTCCCGGGTGATCAGATGGAATGTGGGAGTCTAGTGGCAATATGGATATATGATAGGAACTGGATTAGATAAGAACCAAACAAATATCTTTCTATAATCAATTCTTTTGACTCACTTGCTCATACAGGAAGATTTTTTTCTTCCATAACAATATCTATGTAGTTCTAGCTTCCATTTTACCATCCCTTGTGGTTATGCACACTTTGGTCATAACCTTTGAGAGAGAGAAATAAAGAGTCAATTTAGCTTTTTCATTTCCCTCACTTCATGTATAGGTAAAGGAACAACAACAACAAAAAAGGTGAGGGAATTAACTTAAAATGCCCAACTGTGCATGCTCTGCTATTGATAGATTTTTACAGAGAGATCAGGGAGATAATCCCTAGCCCTGAGCACAGACAGAACAGAAATGCGGTGACAGCAAGTGTATTTAATGTACCCTCTAGAAGTTCTCTGTTCTGGTCAGTCCTTATTGTTATAACAAGTGCCAACCAGCTAGGCAGTAGTACGATTCTAATAAATCTGTCCTATACTAAACATCTCTACATAGGGTTCTTTAATTAGTAATTACAATGATATTTCCATCATGCTGGAAAAGAGCATAACTGAAGTTTGTGCTTTTCCTGTACAGCAACAGTTAATCTTTCCATCTCCCTAATTTGCTAGACTGGTTTCAGCAAATCTTTAATACCCGATGGAATCATGTTCTTCCGAGTTGCAGCAGGAACAAGGTTCCCAGCCATCAGTAACATCTGCAAGAAATGTTGGGACTGATATTTCAGTTTGCTTGGTACAACCTGTCCTCAGATCACTAACTTTGGAGATAAATCATCTCTCCCACACAGACCTGAATGAATAGGATAAATTAGGTATGCTTCTGGGGGGCGAGATAATAATTCAGAATCGGGGAGTGAGCTTCCATAAGATTAGTAGTGGTCATATATTTTCTCCAGCATTGAAAAGGTCATTTAGTGCCCAGATAATTCCCATTATCTTTCCTCCTAAACAGTTACAAATCTTGTTTTCGATAAAGTAGTTGCATTACACAGCACGGGATAAAGCATTTACAGTTCTGGATTCTGTCAATGAAGTTTATGTATAGGGTTCCCATAATTTCAGTCCTACAACAAAGCACTCCCCGACCATTAATTAACTTACCCCCACAACACCCCTGTGATGAAGGGAAGTAAGATTGCTATTTTACAGATGAGGCACTTGCCCAAGGTCAAACAAGAAGCCTGAGGGAGGATCAGATAGTGAACCCAAGCCGCCTGCATCCCAGGCCCTTACTGCAATATCACCCCTTCATTCCCATAGAGCACAGTCATAGGTGGCTTTACAAAGCCGGAGCATACAAAGCTCCTAATGTCAAAGTATGTGAACTAAGGAAAAGAGCTAAGCTAAATTTTCTCTTAAGAGCTTCCAGAGATATAAACGTATTGCTTGAGATAGATTAATGTAGTATATTAATCCTCCTACCTTAACTGTGGTATCTGTCTCATAAAAGGATCAGGGGGGAAAATGCATTAGACATCCTGGGGCATAAAAGAGAAAGCACACAGTTTGGAATATTAAGAAAAAATTGGAGTTACATAAGATATTGAATATACCATTGGGTCGAATACAATGTTTAGTATCCAAGCAGAAGTTAAACTGATGATAGACACAGAGTTAAATCTGTCCTGGGGTACAACAGACTACTCATCAGGGGCTTTTCATTTGTTCAACATTTCCTATATTTAATGGAGCAGTGGCTACTCACCATTCTATGCAACTTTGCTATGCACTTGGTTATTTCAGTTCTTTACACGGAGGCCAAGATTTTTGATAATGGAAGCCTAAAACTAGGCTCTTAAATAGGTGGCCTGATTGTCAAAAGTACTAAACACCCGGCAGCTCCCAGGGAAGTTAATGTGAGCTGCTGGTTGTTTGGCACTTTTGAAATTCAGACCATGTCTTTAGGGTCCTATGTAGGTGGAGTTTGGCACCTAAATGTGGGCACCCATATTTGAAATTCTCATTCCAAAAGCAGAGGGAGAAGAGGATTGTGAGTGGAAAAAGGGGTATGTGTGTGTGATTGGCACAGCATAAAGCTCATGCAGTGAAATGATCTATGGTCTTATAGTCTGCCCATGAGATCTGAGGGCCCACATGATATATTTCAGTCACATCCCATCCCAGCCAGGAATAACACCCTGCAGGGGATCTAAATGCACAGGAGGCTCACGCTACTGGAAAATATGGCAGTCACTATCTTTCCAAACCCACCCTCAGAGCTGTGCGACATGACAACAAATCTGCAGGCACTGGGTCTGGGTGTGAGGAAGTGTCTGACTCAAGCATTAGGCAGAGGTGCTACAGGGCATCACCTCTCTGATGCCTTTAAAGGAGATATCTAAGTCAAAGGTACCTCTTGGGACTTTATAATCAAAGCAGTATTGTACTAGTGGTACATCTGACCCCAGTCTCCTATGGCTGCACGCTTGGGAGAAGTTTTCCCTCCCTAAGCATCACAGCTTCCAAAGATTTGGGTTTTAACTGTTGTATTTGGCAGTTTTCCCATTATGTCACAGAGCAATAATTATTTCCTGAATAGAAAAAAAGAACACATCCTAAATTAACAGTTTATAGCAGAGAACTGATAAAAATGTCTAGCATCTGGGCCACACACTTACTACTAGCCATAGTCATGGGACTAACAATACCTGCTCTGGGGCAAGTTATTGGTGCAAACAGTACCAAACTCAAGGAGCAGGATGCATTGGCTCTTACCTGGAAAGCGCCTCCAGCATGCTCTGAAGCCTCTCCCACAGCCAGATACTCAAGGGCCTGATCCAAATCCCACTGAAGTCAAAGCAAAGCCTCCCATTTACTGCAGTGGGCTTTGCATTAAGCCCTAATGGCTAGAGTCACAAAGGGACCTAGGCTGCAATACTTCACCCCTCGGTGCCCTACTGCCTAGTGGAATTCCCAGTCCAAGAATTCCCAGAACCTGGGCCGCCAGGTTCCCCAGGCATTGTGTGGGGAGAGCTGGGCTTCTAAAAAAGAATTCACTGAAGCCA